GGATTTTAGAAAGAGAATTCTGTCAACGGTGCAAAGCAGAGCTGCCCCCTAGTGTGCCGGGGGGGTGGGGGAGAGTAGTTATGTCAAGATAATGAGCAAGTTTATGGGACTTGTTCAGAACACTTAGTTACTTTGATCTAGCACTTCCACCCCAAGGAGGCATAGCCACTTGTCCCAGGGTTCTGTACAAATCCTATCTGTGTGGGTGTGTTTGTGTGCCAATAAGATAGAAAAGATTGGGAAGCACTGGTATAAAAGTAAATCAAAAGAGCCTGGAGGTTATAGAACAAGACATTTCATCAGCCCAGGCAAAACATGACAGGATCCTCAAGGATAACAGTCACATGAGGGTGGAGAAGCTACATTTGAGATATTGGGTTGTTGGAAGAGTCATAACACATTTTTAAATAGAAGAAGTATATTATGACTTTTCTGACAACCCAATATTTTGCAGAAAAAACTGCAGGACATTGTGAGCAAACATATGGAAGGTATAGAGTAAATGAGAGGGGAGTAGCTCCGTGGCACAATAGCAACACACTGATCCCAAGGGCGATACCATCATAGCTTGAAGCCCTTGAATCCCCAGCCCAGTCATGCAGGCATGCATGCAAATGCCCAAGAGCCAATAGGACTGAGGAGTAGGACTGGAGGAAGGAGACTGCATGTGACCGGACCCCTGGGTTCAAGCCCTGGCTCCACTTTTCACTTCATCTCTTTGTACCTTAGTGTCCTTGGTTATGATAACAGAGCTCAATAAAAAAATTATAGGTTATTGTTTTATGCTAAGCTCATGTACTAGGCCCCAACAGACCAGACCAAACTAAAATGGAGTCACCCATGCTAAAGCTACACTAAAAGTTCCATGCTAAAGTTTTACCAAACGGAAACTAAGTTGTTATCTGACCTTCCCAGTAATCAGGAAGGAAAGATAACAGCCAATTTCCCAGATAGGTCAGTTTCAATCTTCAACTGGAATAATAATAAAATTCCCTCTATTGTAATTCTTACAACAAAAGTAACCCAAAGCTAACTGGTAGTTTCCTATTGTTCTGCTTCCCTATCCCACTTTATAAAAAAAGTAAGTTCTTTTTTTCAAATCTTTGTCATTAGCTGTATGCACTGGCTAGAGAGGGATTAAAAGAGAAAGATGGAGAGGGAAAGTGAGACATCACCTCCAGGAGGGATGGACACACCTTAAATCCTTTATCTTCTATTCTCCTCCTGGGATTTTGGGCACGTACACAAACATAACTGACATGTTTTTCAAGCTGCCATGCCTGGGAATTAAACTACACAGCCCAGCCATGTGGGATCCAGCACCTTATCCACCAAGCCACCTGCCGGCCCAGGAAAGAAACTTTTAAGTGACCAGTCCATTTTTTGTTCTTTCTTTAGCTCTTCTCCATCTATAAAACCAACCGCCTCTCTCACAATTATTTACTTTTATGGAATAAAGTGTTGCTCAGTTCCAGATTGTCAAATAAAGTCAAGTAAGATCTTGTAACTAAATGGTAATTTTGTCTTGACAACAATGATAGTAAAAATGAAGGAAAATTCAATGAATTAAATAACATAAAGCAGTAAATACAGTACCTGAGATTTTAAAGGACTTAAAAGCTCTAAGTTATTTAACACCAATAACATGTCAGTGAATAAAGGAAAAAAGTTGGTTTCAGAGGGGCAAAATGGGCAGATCAAATATAGTGAGATAGTTTTGTTTATGACGAGCTGTGATATAATATAAAAATATTTGTTCCTTATTCTAGGTTCCTGGCAAAGTGACTAAAATCCTAGGAAGTTACAGATCAACAGGAGTTTTTCTTATTCATAATGAGTCTTTTTTTATCACACCTAAGTTTATGCTAAGGAGGTGACTTAGGGTAGGCCTTGAGAACAGGCTGGTCATCAGAAAGACCAAGTGATTAGAGGGCCGGGACTTCAAGCAGCACTCACCAACCTCTGGGTGGTAGGCTAGAGATGAAGTTCTATAAAAACTATTAAGCAAAGAGATTTGAAGAGCTTCCATTTCACCCAACACTGGAGAGCTGGCAGGTCCCTCTTTATCTGGCTGTTCATCTTAAACCAGTAAACATATATAAAGTAGCTACACATGTAACTACTGAGTTCTGTGAACTATCCTAGCAACTAGTCAACCCTGGGGGAGGGATGGAGCAGTCATGGGAACTCTGATGTATAGGTCAGACAGATCTGGGACTAGTCACTGGTGGTTTCAGAGGGGCAAAATGGGCAGATCAAATATAGTGAGATAGTTTTGTTTATGACGAGCTGTGATATAATATAAAAATATTTGTTCCTTATTCTAGGTTCCTGGCAAAGTGACTAAAATCCTAGGAAGTTACAGATCAACAGGAGTTTTTCTTATTCATAATGAGTCTTTTTTTATCACACCTAAGTTTATGCTAAGGAGGTGACTTAGGGTAGGCCTTGAGAACAGGCTGGTCATCAGAAAGACCAAGTGATTAGAGGGCCGGGACTTCAAGCAGCACTCACCAACCTCTGGGTGGTAGGCTAGAGATGAAGTTCTATAAAAACTATTAAGCAAAGAGATTTGAAGAGCTTCCATTTCACCCAACACTGGAGAGCTGGCAGGTCCCTCTTTATCTGGCTGTTCATCTTAAACCAGTAAACATATATAAAGTAGCTACACATGTAACTACTGAGTTCTGTGAACTATCCTAGCAACTAGTCAACCCTGGGGGAGGGATGGAGCAGTCATGGGAACTCTGATGTATAGGTCAGACAGATCTGGGACTAGTCACTGGTGCTCAGCTGAAGTAAGGGGCAGTCTTATGGGACTGGGTCCTTAACCTGTAGGGTCTGCACCAACTGGTTAGTGTCAGAATTAAGCTAAACCATAGAAGTCTCAGTTAGTATCTACTGGAAAGTCGCTGGCTTGGGGAAAAACCTCGCATATCGGGAGTCAAAAGAGTTGTGCGAAGAGTGCAGAGAAACAAAGGGCATTTTTATAAGACAAAAGTAATGAAATACTACAAAGCGATCCCGCAAGTAGTTTAAAAATCATGAATATGAAAGCCAGAAAAGAGGTGGAAAATGGAAATCAAGATGTGAAAACCATCGGCAAATATTCCCAGGTAGAAGCTATAATTATGAAACAGAATGACTTTACCCAGGGGTGTGTATAAGAAAATAAAAAATGAAATCCTTTCTGCACCTCAGCTTCTTCATGTATAACATGAAAGTGATATAACCAAAGGTCAGAGAAAATGAACTGCTTCCCTATTTCAACAATTTAAATGTGTTGCATACACATAAGAGATATGCATAGCTATGACAGGGCACGGGTCAAAGAACTTGATCTCATTTACATAACACAAAATGAAAAATGGCAGAACCCCATGTTCCCTAGAATATTGCATCCTTCCTGGTGTGTAGTCATAATTCATACTCACAGGCTCGTTCACTGCATTTTGCATGGACACATTCTTAATGCAGATGCCAAATGCAAAAGGATGGGAGGGATTGGTAATACCATCTTCAAATCGTAAATGGACATCTTGAATATTTAACTGCAAAGAAGAGAAAAAAGAAAAAAAAGTTTCAGTAATTGCTACAGCAAGCAGAATATTATAAGTAAGGTCAAAGTATTCTTGAGCCACTGAAGTAAACCATAGTAGGTGGACATTTTATACAAACACATTGCACATACATCCAGTATTCTATACTAGGAGAGTTATAATCACAAACTGCACATAAATGACAATCCTTTGTAATTAGAAGAAAGTCCTGAAAGACTGAAGAAATGAAAGAGATTGTGACATGACCATACCCCATTGGGGGCTACTTTCTCCTCTCCCCCTCTCTCTACTCTCTCAGAAAGTGCATATGCCTTCTGGCAAAATTTTAAAAGAAAAAAATTTTAAGAGAGTATTTCTATTGTATCTCATAATTGGTCCTGCTGCTCTTGTAAGATCTTAATCTAGTCTCTATGTCTTAGCATGAAGACCCAGAAATGCCAGCAGGGCACATAAACTTTGTATATAAGTATTTTAAAAGGGGCACTCAGTTTTAATTAATTAAAAATAACAATAGAAAGTGAAAAAACCACCCACAGTATAGGAGAAATTATTTCCAACTATATATCTGATAAGGGACTTGTATCCAGGATATATAAAGAGCTCTTAAAACTCAACAATAAAAAGACAAACCAATTTTTTAAATAGGCAAAAAATTCAAATAGGCATTTATCAAGAAAAATGTATAAATTGCAAATAAACAGAAGGAAAGATACTTCACATTATTAGCCATTAAAAAACACAAATCAAGGGACCTGCAGTTAGCATAATGGCTATGTCACTGAACTCCCATATAGTCGACTGTGGTTCGAGTCCTGGACCCGGTGGCTTAAACTCACTCCAGGTACATGTGCATGCATGCCCAGGATCCTGAGAGGAGAATGGAGGAGAAGGGATTGTGGCATGATGATCCCCCCAGGGGGTGATTTCTCACTTTCTATCTCTCTGTCTGTCTTTCTGGCGAGTGCACGTACCCTATAGCAAAAACCTCTCAAAAAAAAAAAAAAAAAAAAAAAAAACCACAAGTCAAGTCAAAACTACAATGAGGGACCAGCAGTTAGCGTAATGGCTATGTCGCTGGACTCCCACATAGTCGACCGCGGTTCAAGTCCCGGACCCGGTGGCTTAAACTCATGCCGGGCGCGTGTGCGTGCGTGCCCAAGATCCCGAGAGGAGAATGGAGGAGAAGGGATTGCGGCGTGGCCATCCCCACTGGGGGGTGATTTCCTGCTTTCTATCTCTCTGTCTCTCTCTGTCTGTCTGGCGAGCGCACGCGCCCTATAGGAAAAACCTCTCCAAAAAACAAACAAACAAACAAAACTACAATGAGACCACAAGGTAGGCAAAAGGCAGGAGGATTTTGAGTTTGAAACCAGCCTAGGCAACAAACATAAAAATTTACAATGAGATTTCACCTCACACTAGTATGGCTATAATCAAAAGACAGACAGTAACAAGTGTCAATGATGATGTGAGAAACTGAAACATTCATATATTGCCGGCAAAACTATAAATAGTACATCTGCCTTGGAAAACAACTCGGTGGCTCCTCAAAAAAGTAAACAAAGGTATCATATGACTCAGCAAGTCTACTCCAAGAAGTTCTACCCAAGAGAACTGGAAACATACTCACACAAAACCCTTACATGAAAGCTTATAGCAGTGTTATTCATAATAGCCAAAAAGTAGAAACAGCCCAAATGTCCATCATCTAATGAATGGATAAACAAATGTGGCATATCCTGACAGCTGTGAAAATTCTCTGCACAACCACTGACTCAGGAGACTTGACTAACCATGCCAGGTACCTGTGTGTGCACGCTCAAAATCCCAGCATGAAAGAGAAATGGAGAAGGGACTGTGGCATAACCACACCCTCCTGGCAGGTGTTCACATTCTCTCTGTGTGTGTGTGTGTGTGTGTGTGTGCTGAGCACATGCACCTTCAGGTAATTACAAAAACAAAAACAAAACAACAACAAAAATGAGACTTTAACAAGGCTTCTAGCGTCCTAAGACCATGTCCCTGGGACTACCCAGTCCTTTTTTGAGTTGCTGCAGAGAAAAGCTCAGACTGTCCAAATAATTTCACTGCTTAAAGCATTTCTAGGGGCCAGCAGGTAGCATAGTGGTTAAGGTGCTGTACTCCCATGTGGTTGACCACAGTTTGAGTCCTAGACCCAGCAGCTTAAAATTCACACCGGGCGCATGTGTGTGCGTGCCCAAAATCCCAAGAGGAGACTGGAGAAGGGATTGCAGTGTAGCCATTCCCTTCACCCCAAAGAGGGGTGATTTCTCACTTTCTCTCTCTCTGCCTTTCTCTGTCTCTCTGGCAAATGCACACGCCCTATTAGCAAATGTCTCTTTTTTAAAAAAGGGGGGAGGGGGAACTTCTGTTTTCTTCAGATAATTTCATAGTTTCAGCTTTTACGTTTTAGTCTAGTCAATTTTGAGTTGATTTTTGTATAAGGAGAGAGATATGAGTCTTACTTCAGGGACCAGCCAGAGACATGGAGGTTAAAGTGGCTAGGTTCCACGTGGCTGGCTCTGCAGTTCGAGTCTCGAACCCACAGACTTGAAAAACACACCAGAGGCATGTGTATGCATGCATGCCCAAAATTACAAAAGGAGAATGGAGGAGAAAGGATTACAGTGTGACCATCTTACCTAGAAGGTGATTTTTCACTCTCTCATTCTCTCTGTCTCTCTCCAGAGTGCACTCACAATATAGCAAAAACTTAAAAATAAAAATAAAAGCAGCTGATTATAAAATGAGTGGATTTATTTAATTTATGGACCCTCAATTCTGGTTTATTGGTCTATATGTCTGTTTTTATGACAGTACCATGTTGTTTGGGTTCCTATAGCTTTATAGTATATTTTCAAGTCAGGTCATATGATGTCTCTGTCTCTGTTTTTTGCTCAACATCCATTTAACTATTCAGGGTCTTTTGCAGTTCCATACAATTTTTAGATTTTGTTTTGTTTTTGTTTTTTGTTTTTCTAGAATATCTTGGTATTTTGATAGGAACTGCATTGACTTTATAGGTCATTTTAGGTAGTTTGAATTTTTTATTTTATTTTATTTTATTTTATTTTTTTGCTATAGGGCATATGCACTCACAAGAGACAGAGAAAGAGAGGGAAAGTGAGAAGTCATTCCCCAGGGGAAATAGTCATGCCACAATCTCCTTTTTTCACTCTCCTCTCAGGACCTTGGGTACACATGCATGTTCCCAGCATATCCCTCAAGCCACTGGGTTCAGGACTCGAACCATGCAGCCAGCCATATGGGATCCAGCCACCCCAACCACCATGCCACCAGCTGGCCCTAGTGTGGATATTTTAAAGTAAAAACAGTAAAGTGGGATTACATCAAACTAAAACACTTCTGAACAGCAAAGAAAACAATTAATTGAATAAACAGACAATCTATAAAATAGGAGAACTATTTACAAACTGACAAAGAGTTAGTATCCAGATACATCAGGAATTCAAACAACTCCACAGCAAACACACAAGTAATTTTATTTAAAAAATGGACAAAAGACCTTAATAGACATGTCTCAAAAAAAGATATTCAAATGGCCAGCAAATATACGAAAACATCACTGATCATCAGAGACAGGCAAATCAAAATTGCAATGAGATATCACCTCACTCCAGTCAAAATGAATATTAAAAAGGGCCAGCTCCTTGACTTAGTGGTTAAGAGAACCAAATGTCACATGGCCAAATGCATAGTTTGAACCCCCACCTTAACAACTTAAAAACACACCAGGATGGGGCTGGCAGGTGGCATGGTGGATGGGGCACTGGACTCTCACATGGCTGACTGCAGTTTGAGTCCCTGACCCAGTGGCTTGCTTTCTCTCTTCTCACCTTATCTCTCTCTCTCTCTCTCTCTCTCCTCCCCCACCCTCTCTGTCTTGCTCTATTCCTCTTTGGTCAAATTAAAAATAAATAAATAAAGTTAAATAAAATAATCCTTAAAAAAAAAAAAAGAAACAAACAAACAAACAAAAAAAAAACAGGTGCATATGTGTGCATGCTTAAAATCCCAACAGCATGAAAAAATAGAAGAGAAGGAATTGTGGTATGACCATGTCCCATTGTGAGAGAGGTCATTTCTCCCTCACCCTCTCTCTTTTTGGTCTTTCTCTGGTGAGCACACACATCCTCTGGCAAATTAAAAAAGAAAAAAAAAGTAATAAGCGTTAGAAGTTTGCACTTACATACTATTGGTAAAAATGTAAACTGGTACAGCCATTATCGAAAACAGTAGGGATATTTCTCAAAAAATAAAAACAGAACCATTGCATGATCCAGCAATCACACTACTGGGTATACATCCAAAGGAAATTAAATCAGTATGTCAATCTGCACTCTCATGTTTAGAGCACTGCTATTCACACCAGTAAACATATGGAATCAACCTAAGTACCCAACAACAGATAAATGAATTTTAAAATGTGGTATAAGGGCAGCTGGTGGCATGGTGGCTAAGGCAGCTTGATCCCACATAGCAGACTGAGTGGTTCAAGTCCCAGACCCAGTGGCTTGAAAAATGTGCTGGGATGGGACCAGCAGTTGGCGTACTAGCTGTGTCACTGGACTCCCATGTAGTCGACCATGGTTCCAGTCCCAGACCCAGCGGCTTAAACTTATACCGGGCGCATGTGCGTTCAAGTCCAAGATCCTAAGAGGAGAATGGACTAGAAGGGATTATGCCGTGGCCATCCACCCTGGAGGGTAATTTCTTGCTTTCTGTCTCTCTGTCTCTCTCTGTCTTTCTGAAGAGTGTATGCACCCTATAGCAAATACCTCTCAGGAAAAGAAAGAAAGAAAGAAGGACGGAAGGAAGGAAGGAAGGAAAGGAAGGAAGGAAGGAAGGAAGGAAGGAAAGAAAGAAGGAAGGAAGGAAAGAAAGAAAAATGTGCTGGGTATGTGTGCATGCATCTCTCAAAATCCCTAAAGGAGAAATAGAGAAGGGAACTGGTGGCTTTAAAAACACACTAAACGTGTGTGTGCATGTCCAAAGTCCTGAAAAGAGAAATGGAAGGAGAAGGGACTATGGCATGACCATCTCTCACAGGAAATGCTTTCTCATTTTCCCTCTCTCCATGTCTCCCTCTGGAGAGTGCACATGCCCTCTAGCAAAAATTTTTAAATTAACTAAATAAAATTTTTAAAAAATCATAATAAGCCTCGTCATACAGGGCAGTAGTTAAGTACTACACATTAGGAGCTGGATCCCAAACAATTTATCACAGCTCAAGTCCCAGTCACTTGAAAAATACACCAGGTGTATATGCATGCAGTTCCCAAAATGCTGATGGGATGGAGAAATTGAGGAAAAAGGACTGCAGCACGATCACACTCTATTAGGGAGTACCCCTCCCTTTGGCAAGTGCACCGCCCTCTAGCAACTAAAAAATTAAAATAATGACTATTTTTTTTTAATCAATGACAGCTAAAAATAATAACTGCTCAAAACAGAATTCAAAGCAGTGACCTCAAATATACCAATCTTTTTGTCAACATTATGAAAGTTAGGAAACTAACAACCTCAGATATACCTTGAACACATTTGGTCTCAGTCACCTCGGTATTGCAAGGAAACACTAGAGGTAATAAATGTCCTGGCCTGGGGCCAGAAAGTGACTTAGCCGTTGTGATGCTGGATTCCCACATGGCCAACTGTGGTTCAAGTCCCAGATCCAGCAGCCTGAAACTCACACTAGGCACATGTGCATGCATGCCCAAAATCCCGAGAGGAGAGTGGAGGAAAAGGGATTGTGGCATGGCTAACCCCCTGTGTCTCTCTCTGTTTTTGGCAAGCACACATGTCCTATAGCAAAAATCTCTCTTTAAAAAAAAAAATGTCATGGCCTAATTCTTGACATTCATGAAGATCAATATGGACTGTAATTATTTTGTTTGTTTGTTTTTTAGTTTGCTATAGGGTGTATGTGCTTACCAGAGGCAGGGGTAGAAGATAAGAAATCACCCTCAAGGATGGCCATGTCACAATCCCTTCTTCATTCTCCTCTTGGGATTTTGGGCATACTTGCACATGTGCCTGGTATATTTTTCAACCTTCCAGGTCCAGGACTCAAACCACTCAGTTGGTCACATGGGATCCAGCGGCCTTAACCACCACACCACCAGCTGACCCAGCCTGCTCTAGTTTGCCTTTTTTTTTTTTTTTAGTATTTAATTGCTGTACATCTTTACAAAGTGAACTTTCCCAGCATTAGTCCACTGCTCTAGTTACTGATGACAAAACAAAATTGTAATTAAACAAGGAGAAAATGTAGCCAACAGCTCCAACACTGTAACCCATCAAACTGCCAAGGGATACAACAATGAGAGATTAAATATCCTAGTGGGCTGTTCACAATTCACTATGTAACCAACTAGCCACCATGCATCCAACCTCTCTCCTTTCACAGATGAGACCAGAGAATTTAAGTGATTTGCTCTGTAAACACAGAGTCACCCAAGGTTAGTTAATTAGGCTTCTAAGGAGACAAACCCTTTAGCAAGTGGAATTCCAATATTCAAAAAGAAAGTACAGTGAGTGAAATAGAAGATGAAAACTCCTACTCACACCAGTTGAAGCAAGTAAAACCTGCGTCTGCCACAGAGCACAAGACTTGCTTATCAGGTTTCCTCCTTTGCACAGCCTCCAAAAGAGCACACCTGAGCGGCCAGCCCTCCCTACACCCTGTGCTAGTCAAACCCATGAGAAACAAGTAACTAAGTGAAACATGTAACCTTGAGAAATCCCGTTCATGTTTATACTTCACAAAAGTCAATAGCACTTACTTCAATGTTCTCCACGATTCTTGTAACTACTGAGGCCGTCACCGAATACCAGTAGGATTCCCCTTTCTGTTGGCGTTCATTCTAAAAGGGAAGAGTCAGTGTTAACAGAATCAAGTGTTTCTGCCCCTTTTACCAGTGTTACCACAACCGCTCGTATGGCCCAGAGGACCTCTGCCTTGCCTTCCATTTCTCCTCCAGGGATTGAAGCAGTGCTTTCTTGCGCTCCCTTTCCAACAGCTTCTCCTTTTCATCATTGAAATCCTGTATTTTTTCAGGGGCTCCAATTAAGTGAAGGCTGGAGATGGAGATCACCCAAGGGTCCACGTGGGGGCGATAGAAAGGAATCTGAAGGGTTACTTTCCCAATGAAGCCTGGGAGCAGAAGGAAGTTTTGTTAAATGTCGACACATTTTAAATGCTTTCCATTTTTCTGATTTTTTCTGGTTTTAAGAAACATGTATTAATATTACTTTTTTACCATTTATTTTTAAACTAAAACAATGCAGCAGATGGGACTAGCAGAAGGCATAACAGTTATATCTCTGGACACCCACAAGGCCGACCGAGGTTCAAGTCCCAGACCCAGAGGCTTGAAACTCATGCTAAGTGCATGTGTGTGCATCCTCAAAATTCTGAGGGAAGAATGGAGGAGAAGGGATTGTGGCATGGCCATTCCCCTGGGGGTGATTTCTTGCTTTCTGTATCTCTGTCTTTCTTTGCCTCTTCGGTGAACACAAGCATCCTACAGCAAAAATCTCTACCAAAAAAAAAAAAAAAAGCAGGCTCTTACACATGTGAAACAAGTGTAGTAGGCTGAGGTCTAGAACCTGGAAAAAGTTCAGGGAAATGGTCATACCAAAAGCACACTCTCCCCTATGTAAACTCTCCTTTCCCAAATGAACTACTTTCTAGATTTCATAATGGTGTCTTTCTACCCATGGCACCTGCACATGCCCAGAGACACAAAATTCATTTTTTGTTCATTATTAACTGGCTGGTTAGTAAGCACTCATTGGCGTTACAGACCTATAATCTGTCCAACCTTGAACGTACCCATTATAAACTGAAACGTGGCCCAATGCACTGGCATTCCATCAATAAAAAATTCTAATAATCAATTCTAATGAGAACCCACACTGATGATAAAGCCAAATGGCCTGGTAGAATTATAATATTTATTTCCCAGGTTTTCCCCTTTTCTAGCCAACCTTCCTAGAATACAAGCTTTCCCTAAATTCAAAGAATAAAAGGCAAATCACCACTGTAGGAATAAAGCCTAAGAACAGCTGGACTGCCCTCATGAGTCTCTCAAAGATCCACAGAGCCCACCAGTAGTCTCTCTCTCACTCTCTCTCAAAGCAGCATGCGTTCCCAGTGTGTGGTGATCACTACCCTCCAAGGCCAAGAATTCTCAGTGGAATCAGTCCTTTATATTTACGGTAAAAGAAAATCAGTACCATGGTATTCTTTTTTTTATTGAAGTTTTTGCTATAGGGCACCTGGCATGTTTCTCAAGCTGCCAGGTGTGGGACTAAACCACGAAGTCTGCCACATGGGATCTAGCCACCCAATCACCATACCACAGGCTGGCCCAATGTGCTATTCTCAATGACAACACCAAATGTTGACTATGCAGTCCAGTAACAAACCAAGAAATGCTACAGCAAACAATGAAAAAATTGGGGCTTTACCACAACAAAAATGAGCTTTTTTATACTGAATAAAAATTTGTATCATAACTGAAATCACATGTATGCCAATTTTCATAAAAAAGCATTTTAATAATAATTAGTGCAGTTACAATGAGGGGAAGATGTGTAACACCCTGATATGACAACAAAATATAACTTCTGTTACGTTTTACTTAATTTCTGCAGGATAAGCTCATTTTTACAAACATAGAAAGAATAAAAGGGGTTATTTTTGCAAAAATAGTAGAAAACACGAATTTTTCCCAAGAGTCTCTCTGAATCCTTTGATACTCAAGTGAGCCTCTTTTGGAAGTATCCACAGTGCCATTGCTCTTGAGGGCTTTTCAGAACCTGGCATGTCAGAGTCTTGGCTTGAGATTTTGGCAGTTTACCCAGCCTCTGAACTGACTCAAGAAAGCCTTCACCTTTTTTACAAGATTTCTGTTCTATTTCATCTAGCAATTGTTTGCAATGTACTTGCATTTTACTGTAACATAAACACCCAAAATAAGGCAAAGACTGACATCAATACATTGTTGTTGAAAAATGCAAGGTATTTAAATGGGGACTAAGTGTTCATTCATTAATGACTTTTAATTCTATGATATCTTCTCCCTTCCAAATGAATAACCTGCAAAACTCCTATAATAGCTGCCAACATCGACCTAGCCTGTAGCCTGGAAGTTAAGGTGGTTTGATCCCATGTGATCAACTGCAAGGTTTGAATCCCAGGCCTGGTGGCTTGAGAAACACATAGGGCGCACGCGTGTGCATGCCCAAAATTCCAAAAGGAGGGCGATATGGAGAAGGGATTGCAGTGTGACAATTTCCCCACTAGTTTTTTTCATTTTCTCTTTCTTTCTTTGCCACCGCTCCACTCCCATCCCTTTACTCCCCTATAAGCACATGTACCCACTGGTTAAATTACTTAATTTTTTTTTTTTTGGAAAGGTTTTTGCTATAGGGTTTGTGCACTCGCTAAAGAGACAGAGAGACAGAAAGTGAGAAAGGATGGCCACACTGCAATCCCTTCTTCTCCAATTTCCTCCCAGGATCTTGGGCACGCACGCACACACGCCCGGAGTGAGTTTAAGCCACCGGGTCCAGGACTCGAACTATGGTCAACTATATGGGAGTCCAGAGACATAGCCATTACATCACCTGCTGGTCCCAATTACTTACTTAATTAATAACTACCAATATCTACTGAGTATGCCAGGCATTCTGAATAATTTTAATGTACTAACGCACTCCTCTCAACAGCCCTATGACACAGATACTTTCTATCTCATCTTGTAGGTGAGGAAGCACGCAAGAAATGGTTAGGTAACTTGCTTAAGGTCATACGGCCATAAAACAGAGAACTAGATTATAAATACAAGCATGGTAATTTAGCAAACATCTCTCATTTAAAAGAGTAAACTGGCTCTCAGTACATCTACCATGAATTATCTGAGAGTAAGAACTCCCTGTATCTAGACAGAGGTTCTCACACTTCAGTAAACCAATGACTCACCTGGCATGCTTATTAAAAATGCAGGTTCAGTGACACTCTCTCAGAGTTTCTGATTCAGTAAGTAGTTTTGGGGAAGGGCCACCTGACCTCCCCACTACACCATAAGGTCATCCTGATACAAGTGGCCAGGGACCACACATTTTGTTTTTTTAAGAGAGATTTTTGCTATAGGCTATGTGCACTCACTGGAGAGACAGAGAAAGACAGAGAAACAGAAAGTGAGAAATCATCTCCCGGGAGAATGGCCACACCACATTCCCTTCTTCTCCATTGTCCTCTTGGGATCTTGAGCATGTACACACACGCACCTGATGTGAGTTTTGAGCTGCCAGGTCCAGAACTAGAACGGTGATTGAGCTGGTGGGAGCCCAGCACCGTAACCACTACACCACCTGCTGGCCCCCAAGACCACAGTTCAAGACTGACCAACACTTTCCTTTTCTTTTTTTTTAGAGAGAGACTTTTCTATAGGGTGTGTGTGCTCGCTGCAGAGACAGAGAGACAGAAAGTGAGAAATCACCCCCCAGGGGGATGGCCACTTCTCCTCCATTCTCTCAGGATCTTGGGCACACACACATATGCCCAGTTTGAGTTTTAAGTTGCCGCGTCTGGGACTCAAACCATGATCAACAATGTGGGAGTCCAGTGATAAAATCATTACTCCATCCGATGGTCCCAAGACTGACCAATACTTTCTATCCTTCCTTTTCCTGGTCAAACAGATACAAATTCCAAACTTCTCACTTAAGACTCAAAGCTTCCTCCTCCTTCTTTAGTTTCACATACCAGCTTTGACTTCAAATGGTAATTCCAGTTCTTTCAAGGCATCTTTCTTTAACGGCAAGTTTTCTAATTCAACAGCACCTAAGGGGGAAAAAAACATGAAATATTCATGTAACAAATACAGTAGGTGCCCATTGTGTATAGAAGATCGAAGGTTAAAGGGAAGTTTTACTCTAGAACAGGGCTGTAAAGGTCACGGTTAGTACTACCAGCAGCCCGTGTGCTTTATCTGTACAATTCCTACAACTCCCTGACCATATACTCTTTTCTTTTTTTCTTTTTAAAGATTCTTGCCATAGGGTGCCTGCACTTGCCAGAGAGAGGGACAGTGAAAAGGAAAGTAGAAATCACACCCTACCCCCAAGCAGGATGGCCATGCCACAATCCCTTGTCCTCCATTCTCCTTTCAAAATTTTAAGCATTCACACATACACGCCTGTTGTGATTATCAAGCCACCAAGTATGGGACTCAAACCGTAGCCAGCCTTGTGGAATGGACTTCACACCTTAGCTGCTATGCCACATGCTGGCCCCTGACCCCCCACTTTTAACTTGTAAATAACAGCAGAGGCTTAAAAGTCAATAGAGTTTAGGCAAGAATCTACTTTCTTCTGTAACTGACCAGAGTGTAAATATTTTTAGTTTTTATATAGTATCTGTTATGTAGACTTTTATCTCATTTTATTTTATTTTACAAACCTTTGAAAAATAAAAGCCATTCTTAGATCACTGGCCAGACTGAACTGCTGGCCAGTTGGCAGACCCCTAGCTCAAGCTAGCATTTCCCAGAGAATGGAAACCATTTGGCTCAGCATGAATGCAGGCTCAGGGACCACACCCCTAGACCTCCCAAATCAGAATCTCTGGGATTGAAACACAAGAATCTGCAGGAGGTTTTTTTGTTTTTTGTTTTCTGGTTTTTTGGAGAGGTTTTTCGCTATAGGGCGCGTGCGCTCGCCAGACAGACAGAGAGAGACATAGAGACAGAAAGCGAGAAATCACCCCCCAGGGGGGATGGTCACGCCACAATCCCTTCTACTCCATTCTCCTCTTGGGATCTTGGGCACACACGCACACACACCCGGCGTGAGTTTTAAGCCACCGGGTCTGAGACGCGAACCGCGGTCGACTACATGGGAGTCCAGCAACATAGCCATTACACTAACTGCTGGCTCCAAGAATCTGCAGTTTTTAACAAGTTTCTCCCACTTTTGCCTACTCTGCCCCTAAAATGAGTGTAATATATACAATGTTCAAGACCCCCTGGCTTAGTTCAATGAAACCAGTCATCAAAAGGAATCATTCTCTCGGGACCAGCAGTTAGTGTAATGGCTATGTTGCTGGACTCCCCTGTAGTCGACCGCGGTTCGCGTCTCAGACCCGGTGGCTTAAAACTCATGCCGGCCACATGTGCACGCATGTCCAAGATCCCAAAAGGAGAATGGAGGAGCAGGGATTGTAGCGTGGCCATCCCCCCTGGGGGGGTGATTTCTCCCTTTCTGCCTCTCTGTCTCTCTCTGCCTGTCTGGCGAGCGCACGTGCCCTATAGCAAAAAATACCTCTCCAAAAAAAAAAAAAAAGAGGAATTATACTCTCTCTTCTGGAGAGACAAGCTTCAGTGTTCTCCACCTACTGGTGTAATTACCAGTCAGAAACAAAAATACCTGTACAGGCCCATCACTGAAGGTCTTTTTCTGACCCAGCTTTGATGATGACAAAGACCCAAAAGTGCACAGATAAGAGGACAGCAAAATCTCTCCTGCTCCTGGCTTTGCGAGCCTTCCTTCACACACCTGCACTGAGTCCTCTGTACTAGGTGGTGCCAGCCAGTGGGAACACAAAGAGAAATGCAGGGTCCCCAGCTCCAAATTGCTGAAAGACAGCTGTGGTTTTACAAAACTGTTTACCCAATACAAGTCAGAACTTTTTTTCTTTAATTGCCAGGAGGCCCATGTACTTGCCAGAGCCAGAGAGAGGGATAAAGCACGCACGTGCACACGCACACACACACACCCATAGGGCATGGTCATCTGTAATCACGTCTTCCATTTCTCCATCCTGTCAAGATCTTGGGTAGGCACGAATGCACACATACGTGGTTGGCATGTTTTTCAAGTTGGGTTGGGATTTGAACTATGGATGGCCACATGGGATCCAGCTCCCTTAACCACAAGGCTGTGGGGCTGGCCCACATGAGACAATTTCTGAGCTTCTTAAATCTTTCTGAGATACATATATTTTCAAGAAGAGGGAGAACGGACAACAACCATTAACTGGTAAGAAAACCCAGGGCAAAAAAGAGCAAGCAAGTCTTTTACTCCAAAGACAAAATGATGCAAGATATTTGATTATTTTTCCCTTTAAATAACTGATTAGGACTTATGCATTATTGGTTCCTGAATAATTCAAATGTAGCAATGTGGCAGATTCTGAGCTAATGTCACCATCTTGTTTTATTGTTTGTGTGTTTGTGGGAAACTTGTCCATATGGGACCCCACATTCCTTAAGACTAACCAAAAGGAAAAGTTAATAACCCCAATGAAACAATCCTATTTCTTCTTTTTTTCCAAAGAATTATTTAACTTTACTTATTTGTTTGCTTTAATTTGACTGGAGAAGGACGGAGAGAAAGAGAGAAAGCGAGAAAGCAAGTCGCCAGGTCCGTGACTGGAACTGCGGCTGGCCATGTGGGAGAGTCCAACGCCCTTAACCACCACACCATCTGTCGGCCCCAAACAATCCTATCTCCACATTCAGAAAGAAAATTATCATAAGGGGAAAAAAAATCATGAAACATTTTCCTTAGTTGAAATTGACTTCAAGGGGGCAAGCATATGGTTTCTTCTTGGAACAGGATAATTTACTCTTGAAAAAGTCCCTGTTCTTCAAAACCTAGCTCTGTCACAAAGGTACATGGGCCTGGGGTCTCTCTAGCTGCTGTACAGACTTGGGGACGAAAGAACTGTAAGAAACTTATACCATGGAAAATTAAAAAGACTGAAGCATGGAGAGCAAAGGAGAAGGTCTACATAGAATGGAGAGGAAGCAGAGGAAAGAGAAGAAACAGTAGCCCAAACAACACCAAAGCTACACAGCCCTGGTTCAAGACTGACAGCTTCCTAATCTCCGACCCACTCAAGTGTGCACGCAGGGCTGGTCAGGCAGGAGCCAGGCAATAAAGCACCCAGTCAGTGAGTACTTTATAAATGATAATGTTGTTCATTTACTTTCAGGCAAAAAACTTACAGGCTTATTCATGAATGTCTCATCCAGAAATTCCTCACCGCAGATTAGCAGGAAATCTATTCACTAAAATTGGGGTGAATTAAGAGGTCAGTCATTTTTCTCTAATGACTACTGAATTCCCTTCCTTCTGCCCCAGGTTGTTCAAAGTGCCAATCTGATGTTCAGAGCTTATAAAAAGAAAGCGGAGAAGGACCAGAAGTTTTGAGTTCCGCAGATAAAGATATTCCCAGAGACCAAAGCTTAGACCTTTTGATTATGGCACTGAGGTTCCACCTTCTAGCCCCAAACCATTCCAAATACTCCCTGCAAGTTTTTAGCTTCTGCTTACCAGCCAAGCACTGCCAGCCAAGTAGTAACCTAACCCATGCCAAGTGTCCAAATATATTACCTTTTATACAATCTAGGGGGTTAAGGCCCACTTAGAGGGGCCTGCAGGTCATCAAGTGGTTGGGGCACTGAACTCCCACACAGCTAACTACAGTTCAAGCCCCAGACCTGAAGGCTTGCTTTCTCACTCTCTCGCTCTTTCTTTGGTGAACACGTGTGCTCCAAAACAAATTTACAAATAAATTAATTAATTAGTTAATTAATTTTGGAGGGGGAACAAAAGACCCACTTAGTAACTGCCTCCACAATAGCTTTCCCAGAGTCCTATAAGCAGTATGAAAGGCTCCCCTTTTTTGCTCCCCACCGAATTATCCCAAAATCTTTAGAACAGCTGAATATATACTGGCCTAGATTACTGTATAATTTGTCTCCCCAACAGGCTAATAGCTCTCTGGTAGGGGCTAAACAGATGGAGGTGGAATAACAATAACAACATTAGCTGTCATTTAGTGAGATCTTTATCTGTGCCAAAGAGTTCATATGCATTAGTTCATTTAATCCCTCACAACAATGAATGGATATACTATTAGTTTCCCAATTTTAGAGATGCAAAAAATGAGTCAACTGGCTCCCAGCAGCGCCTGAACCGAGGTGCCAGGAGCCATCGCTGTGAAGACTATGGTGCTTCCGAACATCTTGCTCACCGGTACACCAGGGGTTGGAAAAGCCATACGAGGCAAAGAACTTGCATCAAGATCAGGACTGAAATACATTAATGTGGGTGATTTCGCTCAAGAAGTCTGATCTGATCACCAGATACCATGGAGTCTGGTAAGATGACTTCTCCCAAGAGCATGCCGAAAGATGCACAGATGATGGCACGAATCCTGAAGGATATGGGGTTACAGGATATGAGCCAAGAGTTATGGATCAGATGTTGGAGTTTGCCTTCTGATACGTGACCACATTTCTAGATGATGCAAAAATTTATTCAAGCCATGCTAAGAAAGCTACTGTTGATGCAGATGATGGGCAATTGGCAATCCAGTGTTGTGCGACCAGTCTTTTACCTCTCCTCCCCCAAGGGAGTCTTTATTAGACATTGCAAGGCAAAGAAATCAAACTTCATTGCCATTGACCAAGCCATGTTCAGGTCCTAGATTGTGCCACCTGACAGACACTGTTTAACAGCTCCAAACCACAGGCTTAATTCTTTACAGGCATCTACTTCTGCAGGAAGAATAACAGTTCCACGGTTAAGAGTTGATTCAGTTACTAGCAGACCAAGTATTCCCACACCAGGCACACCAACCCCACAAACCATGTCTGTTTCCACTAAGATGGGGACTCCAATGTCCCTCACAGGGAAAAGGTTTACAGTACAGATGCCTATGTCACAGTCCCCAGCTGTGAAAGCATCAATTCCTACAACATCAGCAGTTCAGAATGTTCTGATTAACCCATCATTAATTGGGTCCAAAACATTCTTATCACCACTAATACAGTGTCATCACAAAATAATACTGCTGAATCATCAAGTGTATTGAAAAGAAAACGTGAAAATGATGAGGATGATGATGATTATGATTATTTGCAATCTAGCCTTCATGTATGTAATGTGTGTACTTGGTCTTGAATCCATCGTACTGATATTAAAAATGCATGCTGGGAGACCAGCAGTTGGCATAATGGCTATGCTGCTAGACTCCCATGTAGTTGGCAGCAGTTCGAGTCCCGGACCCAGTGGCTTAAACTCACGCTGGGTGCATGTGCATGCGTGCCCAAGATCCCAAGAGGAGAATGGAGAAAGAATTGTGGTGTGGCCATCCCTCCTGGGGGGTGATTTCTCACTTTCTGTCTCTCTGCCTCTCTGTCTTTCTGGTGAGCACATGAGACCTATAGCAAAAACTTCTCAAAAAAAAAAATTAATTAATAAAAATTAAAATGAAGGGACCAGCAGTTAGCGTAATGGCTATGTCGCTGAACTCCCATGTAGTCGACCGTGGTTCAAGTCCCGGACCCGGTGACTTAAACTCATGTTGGGTGCATGTGCGTGCGTGCCTAAGATCCTGAGAGGAGAATGGAGAGGAAGGGATTGCGGCGTGGCCATCCTCCCTGGGGGGTGATTTCTTGCTTTCTGTCTCTCTTTCTGGCGAGCATACACGCTCTATAGCAAAAACCTCTCCAAAAAAAAAAAGAAAAGAAAAATGCATGCTGAATGTTTTCAAATTGTGTTTTGGAACCAGAAGTTAGGATAATGGCTATGTCGCTGGACTCCCACATAGTCGACCGCAGTTCAAGTCCCAGACCCAAGGGGGTGATTTCTCGCTTTCTATCTCTCTGTGTCTCTCTGTCCTCCTGGTGAGCGCACGCGCCCTATAGCAAAAAAAACTCTCAAAAAACAATAAACAAAATTGTGTTTTAAAAAATTTAAATAGTATTTAATGAGCAAATATATAGTTAATCATTCTTTTCTATTGAAATGTTGGATTTTCTTTCATAGGATCAACTAATGGCTTTTCATCAGCCTTCAAGTGTAAAAAATAAAGTTATTCATTAATTTGAAAAAAAAAAGAGTCAACTAAAATAAGCAATTTGCTTAAAAATCATGGAGCTGGTAAGTGGCAGAGGCAGTACCAGAGTTCAATCCAGACCTGTATGATCTTAGCAGCAAGATAGAAAGTGGGTGAAGGAGAGACTTCAGTAACCTCCCCACAGTCAGTTTGTAAGTGGTGAAACCAGGATTAGAACCTAAGTGTAAACTCTAAAGCTCTTTGACTGACTCCCTTTTTGTTTAACTCCATTACAACAGAACCTTGCCTAAATCAGGTGCTCAACGTTTGTTGAATGACTGAATGAGTAAAATCTTAACCCAAGTGCTATTTCTGTCCTTCAACCACTCATGAGTTACTCTGTATTTTCATTACTTTTAGCACATGCATACAACCTATTCCTAAAGGCAAACCCACCAGCTGGTTATGTGTGGATGATTATGAGGATGAATGATGATAGCTAACGCTGACTGAGAGCCCATTACATAAATGACAACAACAACTCTAAGTTCTTTGACCCACATTCATTTATCTAGAACCTTACTTAATAGTTAATTTTTGTCTTGTTTTGGTTTTGGTTTTTCACATAGGGCACAGAGGTGCTCTGGAGAGAGACAGAGGAGAAATGAGAAATCACCCCCCTCCCCAGTGAGGATAACCATGCCACAATCCCTTCTCTTCCATTCTCCTCCTGGGATTTTGGGCATGCATACACATGCATCTGGTGTGTGTTTCAAGCCACCCAGTCCATGACACGAACCATCATCAGCCATGTGGGAGTCCAGCACCTTAACCACTATACCACCTGCTAGCCCTAAGATAGTTAATATTATCTCCAATTTCATTTCCAATTTACCAAAGGGAAGACTGAAACATAAAGGTGAATAATTTCCCAATTAAAGAAACAGGGATTCGGAACCAGCAGTTAGCGTAATGGCTATGTCGCTGGACTCCCACGTGGTCGACCGCAGTTCATGTCCCAGACCCAGTGGCTTAAAACTCACGCCAGGGGCGTGTGCGTGTGTGCCCAAGATCCTGAGAGGAGAAGGGATCTTTGCGTGACCATCCCCCCTGGGGGGTGATTTCTTGCTTTCTGTCTCTATGTCTCTCTCTGTCTGGCGAGTGCACGCCCCCTATAGCGAAAACCTCTCAAAAAAAAAAAAAAAAAAAAAAAAAAAAAAACTGGTAAAAAAAAAAAAAAGAAAGAAAGAAAGAAACTGGTATTCAACCAGTGTGGCTATAAACTCTTGACCACTAGCTCAGTTTTCATTGCATCACCCAAAGCATCTAGAATAGCAAATATCTGCAGATGGATTAAAACAGTATTCCTATTCCTATCTACTACCCTCCACCCCGCCGAAATGGCACTGTTTAACTGTGCCATCAAGCCTCAACTTCTCAATGAAGTCACTCTTTCAGTACAATGTAACACCAAGATTTTTCCGGCTAAGCACTGAGGTCTGCTTTGGGTCCATAAGCAGGGGATACCACACTAACACCTGCTATGAATGCATTTTTCTGTTCTTTAGAGAAACATTCTTCAAATTCTACAGGTTCATAAAAAAGCCATAGAGAATAATATCTTTTTTAAAAGGAAACAGCATAGAAAAGCAATTTAAGGTACCGAATAGACATGCATAGTTGTCGTTACGAGATACATTGTCTGAAATTGTTGAGATTAGAAATCTGTAATAAGGATGACTCCATGATACACCAGATACCACAGATTTCTGTTGATTCATTTCTTCTGCAACCATGCCAGATTACTCTTGATGGAACCAGCTCTTCTATTAGCAAGGTTGTGGTTTGCAGTTCTTTTCTACGCCCTGTTACCTGAACCTCTTATAACTTAGTTAGCTGCAGTGTGTCTGAGAACTTCAGTAAAAGGTGACCTCAGCACTATTACACTTTGAACACACCATCTTTCCTGGTCACTTTTGCTTTCAGCTCAGCACCTCCCTTCTAAAAACAAGAGGAAACACAGGAGAATGGGGGGAGGGGGAACTATTTCTCTCTCCAATGAAGGAGAACAGGGAGCAGCAACCCAAATAACTTCCATATCTCTCAGTCCCACAATCATTTGATGGGTCTAGATAGTCAGAAAAACTTGGAAAGCAACACTTTTGGGCACAAGAGACTCCCTAGGACCCTATTATCAGATTATTCAAACTTCGGTATCACTGCCATCCCTACTAACCTAATGTGGTCCACTAGACAAAACTCACTCCTAGGAGGCTAGGGTTTCTACTGTAGCTGAGGTCTCCTTTCCAGTTCTCTGACTTTCTTCTTCCTATGGTTTTACCTGCTTACAAGACTGACTATCTCTTTTTCTCTACATATGTTAAAGGGTTCCATTTTGAACTGGGCAAAGAGATTTTAAAACAAGAAAAGGAGAAAATGCAGTTTTCCAATTCTTAAACCAAACTCCAGGACTGCATTTACCAAGGATAGGCCTATAAAGCGTAGAAAGTCCCAAGTTATAGGTACTTTACTATGAATACTAAGCAAGATAAGCCCTCGGAAATTCTGTTGAAAACCTCACAGTAATATATTTTAAAATGTCTACTGCGTGTTTATTTCATCCCAGCAGGCTGGAAGCCTTAAATATTATTCCATTCATTCCTTATCACATAGGGATATGCTACCTTCTTTTTCTAAAGAAATTGAGGCCTGGGCCAGCTCTGTGGCCTGGTAATGCCATAAGGCAGCCAGATCCCATAAGGCCGACCCCATGGTTAGAGTTCTAGACCTGGCAGCTTGAGGAACACACTGACCATGTGTGTATGCATGCCCAAGATCCCAAAAGGCGTGAGAGATGGAGGAGAAGGGATTGTGGCATGACCGTTCTTCATGGGGATTGCTTTCTCCTCTCCCTGTCTGTCTCTCTCTGGCAAATGCACGCACCTTCCAAGGAAGATAGATAAATAAATAAATAAATAAATAGCTCATAATGTCAGTATTAGCTATTATTCACACAGCTAGTAAGTGACGAAACAGTCTTTGAAGCCAAAGTCAATTGCTACTGTCACTACATTGTGGCTCCTTCCATAAAGCTAAAAAAATTAACTAGGGTACAAAGCACAGTCACTACTAGTGTCTGTTCATTTTCTGCCACTATCACACCACTGACGGAATAATTCATACAGAGGTTTATTCAGCTCACAGTTCTGGAGACTGAGAAGTCCAAGAACATGGCACTAGCACCCGGCAAGGGTCATCTCATGGCAGAAGAGCAGAAGGCAGAAGCAACGGCACAAGGCAGAGAGAAAGCACAAGGGGAGGACTCCCTTTTATATCCACTGGCTCTCAAGATAACTCACTCACTCCCACAATAATAGTAATCTCCTCCTGAGGGCTTTGCCTTCATAGCCCAATCACCTCTTATTAGGTCCCCACCACCCAACACTGTTGCTTTAGAGATTAAATTTCTAACACATGAGATTTGGGGGACATATTAAGCCATAACAAGTAGTAGAGTTTGTTTGTTTGTTTTAATATTTAATAGTTCTCTAAAATGCAATATAGCTGCATACTTAAGTTACCCTATAATAATCTTCAGGGCCAAATGGAAGAATATATTACCTTTTACACAAATGTAGTACAAGGCCATCTGGGCACTAGATTCTATTATTCTCAATACAACAAAAAATACATTAAAAAATAGACATGTCTTTTGCAAAGCCATACTGTACCAAAGGAAAATACAGGTACCTACCTTTGAGAAGTGCAACCGAGAGCTGGTCAGTGTTCAGGTTATTGACATATTTCCCCAAATAGGTATTGAGAACCCAGGCTACAAGGCCTTCCAACATGACTATATCCTCAGGAAAAGGTGTTTAAAAAACAGAGATCATTCTTTATTTCTCTCTCTCATGGTCACGGAAGGATCTCTAAAAGAGAGAAAAATGGAAATCAACAGAAAAAACTAGATAATTTTCTAAGTTTATTTCCTACTCTACCTGCCTGAAGGAGAATGAATGCAAAACACAGAATTTTAAAAAGATGAGGAAGAGGGTCTGCCAGTGGTGCAGTGGTTAAAGCAGTTGGATCCCATATGCTGACTGCAAGGTTAAGTCTCAGCTAGAAAAACACATCAGGCACATGTGTGCATGGGTGCCCAAAATCCTGAGAGGAGAATGGAGAGGGAACTGTGGCGTGGCCATCCCCTCAGGGCATGCTTGCTCTCTCTCTCTCTCTCTCTCTCTCTCTCCCCTTCTCTTTTTCTCTCTCTGGTGAGCACATGCACTCTACAGCGAATTGAAAAAAGAAAAGGTGGGGTAGGAAATATTGTTAAGATGCCCTTATAGGTAAATGGAGGGCCAAACCAATGCATCTACATTTCGATGCAGCTGCAATGAACAGGTAAGCTTATAAATTTGCCAAAAATTACTCACAACTCAAATTTATATATCTATTCAATATACTACTCATTGAACTATTTGCTTTTAGCAGTTTACCTTGGGAATTACATTGCCCTGGTCAGAGATTTGCATGTGGGCATGATTTGGCAGTATCTAGATACTGTTTTCTATCTTTCTTTCTTGCATGAAAGAGGCTGAGAGACAGGGAGAGACACACATGAGCATCTACTCAACAGGGTCTCATCATGCCGTGGTCCACTCCCCCTGCCACTGTTCAGCCAGCCAGATTATAGTTGCACAAGCCCAATGCACTCAGATCAACCCAGGATCCAAGCCCCAGGCAGAGTAGCAGTCTGCCACCTGCACCACCATGGCTGGAACGGGAGACAATTTTGATTATCCAGCTCTCAGGGCTGCCACTGGCATCCTGTGAAGAGAGACCATGGAAATCGGTAAGCATCCTACAACACACAAGACAGTCTTCCACAGCAAAGAATTATCCAGCTCAAACATCAACCAAGACTGAGAAACACCCATCATAGATCAAGGTAAAAATGCCCTAAGAGATTGTATGGATGCAATGCACATTCTGCAATGATCCTCATTAAGGTTGCCCTGATTAAGTTTTGTAAATTTATTCAGACAATCATTCACAAAATTTAAATGATAGGGAGAACGTGGTACTTTACCACTATGCTTTTTTTAGGAATTATTTCATTCTATTTATTATTATTCTTTAAATTTTACTATAGGGCATGTGCGCTCACCAAAGATAGAGAGAGAGAAAATCAAAAAGCAAGCTGCCAGGTCCAGGACTCAAACCATAGTTGGTCATGTGGGAATCCAACACCTTAACCACCACGCCACCTGCTGGCCTCACTTTACCACTATTCTTAAATGTCCTGGAACTGCAGTATAGGTACCTGGCCACCAGATGATGCTGACACAATGACTACCAGTCAGGGATTACAAACAGAAATTCTCAGGCTCCAGCTACAGTATTTCCATTCAGTACTGAATTACTACTGTCTTTCACAATAACTGATTATCAAGTAGCTTTATAAAAAAACTTGTGTTTTATTTTTAATATTACAAAATAATGACGGAAATTGAAACAAAAGTTTAAATGGATTCTCAGATCCCTCAGCTATCAGAACTTAATAATTCTTAGGCCAATCATCAGCCACCATGCCAGACACTCCAGATTTGCTAGGACATGCATCCCACTTGGAACCAGTCAGCTTTCAGGATCCTTTCCAAGCACTTTGCTCCGCCTCTAGTGATTCATCTTAGCGCCAGAAGACACACTTAGCCCATCGGAAAGCCTGCCACTGAACAAAGACCCAAAACACAAGGCTCCCCTAAGAGTGAACTCAACTCCTAGGAAAGATTGACTTTTATTTGTCAACAGTATCTTGCACTTCCAGACAAGGCTAACTTTTGTCAACAATGATAGTAAAATGAAAAACAAAACGCATTTAGTAAGATATTTGACTAATTTCTTTTCAGAGATATTGTTTAAGGCTGCATCTATGTATTTAGAAGTCCTCCAGAGATTATTGGGTACATTCATTTAAAGGAGAGATTACAAGAACAAATAATTTAAAATAAGCAATATGTAATAGCTGAGCAAAGAAACATTTCTTTATTGTTAAATTTGTGAGAACAAAATGTGAAACTGACCAGTCTTACAGTGTGGACTGCAAACACAGGGGCAAGGAACCAAAGTCACAGTACTGTTGGGAGTTATTACTGCCACTACTTTTGGCCCTACACGCGAACTCTCTCTGACGTGCTAACTCCAAATGTTGTCCAGTAAAGTTCAGGTTCTACCCTACTCACTTTGAAGGTGGAAGAATGCAGAGCATAGGTTAGAAAAACACAAGTAATTAACACTGGCCAATAAATTGAGGCCCAAACCAGAAAGCATCCATTAGCTCTGCTAAGCATCTAGACCAGGCTTGAGGCCACTTCAAGGATTCCCTTAAGGAATCCGGTGTCAGAAAGGGCCACCGAACTGGCAAGAATCCCAGTGTTTACACTCGGGTCCACAGGGGCTCCTAGGCAGCTGTCTGGCACTAACCTCCACCTGGCCTCCCCTACGATGGGGCAGGTGACACTGGAGATCAGGGATCGGCCCACGGGCGGGCGGACAGCCGGGCATGACCTTGGGCCAGGCCCCTCCCTCCCCCAGGAGCGGCCAAACACAGGAATAGGAAGGACTGGGAACCGGACCCGGGCAATCCTCCCCGGAGAAGGCCAGGGCTGAGCGCTGCTGGCGCCAGGAGATCGCAGACAGAAAGACCACGGCGGGTGTCCGGGTGCCGGGCAGGTACTAGACCAGCCGCCCCACAGGAACCGGAGAGCCCAGAAGGCGAGACTCCCACTGTCCTCCCGCCGCTCTCCGGGGGACGGAGACCTCACCTACCAGTCAAGGCCGGGAGGGAATCGCACCGGGGGCCTAGCAGGAGACTCAGCAAGAATGTGACCCTGGGGAGCAAGGAGTAAAGGCAGGTCCGAGGCCTCAAGTCCCATCCCAGAACGTGACCGGGGCGGGGTGGCGCTGGTTAAATGAGGGTGCTTAAGAGACACTCTGAGAACTGACGCCCCATACTTGGGCGTGAGGTGGGGGGACTCCGCACAGGTCCCGCATGGACACCGAAGCTCGGGCAGAGAGGCAGGGACCGACACCCTCTAATGCCACCCCGCCCGGCCGCTGGGACCCTGGGGGTGTTGGGGTCTGGCGGGGGCTC